CCGAGGTTCGGACCAAAATCCTTTTACCCATTCACCCCCAAGCCCGAATATGTAATTAGTTTTAGAATCCGACCTCAAATTAAGGTCTAAATTCCTAAATTTCTGAAATCCCTTGTTTTCTACCCTAACACCTAATTCTACCATGAAAACTCTAGATTTTAGGTTGATAATTCAAGAAATGTAATGGGTAATTGAAAGAAAATAATTTAGAATCACTTACCAATACTTTGGGGAAGAAATGGCTCTTGAAAAATCGCCTCACACCGTTTGATTTTTGAGAAAAATGAATTTTTGGCTAAATCCCGTGTTCGGATTCTGCTAAGTGTTGGGCGACAGTGTTCATCGCATTCGCGAGAGCATTGTCGCGTTCGCGAAGAGTATAGGCTGCCAAGCCTTCGCGTTCACGAGACCGTATTCGCGTTCGTGTAGGCTACCAACCCGGCCTTCCCGTTCGTGAGACATTGCTCGGGTTCGCGATGAAGGAACGATCGACTCTTCCCCATGTGTGCCTAACACTACGTGTTCGCGAGGAGCTGGTCGCATTCGTGAATGGTAACGCCCCCATCGCTTCGCGTTCGCGACTAAGCCTTCACGTTCAGGAAGAAGAAAACTTCAGCTGCCCAGTTTACTCTTCGCGTTCACGAGAGTACCTTCGCGAACGCGAAGAAGGACCTCCCAGAACACCTACTACAGCAAAATACCAGATTTTCAAAGTCCAAAATATCCCGTGGCCTACCCGAAACTTACCCGAGCCCTCGGGACTTCAAACCAAACATGCACACAAGTCTAAAAATATCATACGAACTTGCTCGCGCGATCAAATCGCCAAATTAACACCTGGAACTACGAATTTAGCACCAAATAAAATGAAATTCTCAAGAATACTTTAAAATTCCTATATTCTCAACTGGACATCCGAATCACGTCAAATCAACTCCGTTTCTCGCCAAATTTCACAGACAAGTCTTAAATAGGATAATGAACATGTACCGGGCTCCGAAACCAAAATACAGACCCGGTACTAACAATACCAAACATCAATCAATTCTTAAAAATAAATAATTTTCAAACTTTTAATTTTCATCAAAAATTCATAACGCAAGCTAGGGACCTCCGAATTTGATTCGGGTATATGCCCAGGTCCCATAATTCGATACGGACCCACCCGGACCGTCAAAATATGGAGCCGGGCCTGTTTACCAAAAATATTGACCGAAATCAAATAAAATCAATTTTTTAAGGCATAAATTCTTGTTTTCATCGATTTTCAACATAAAGCTTTCCGGAAACATGCCCGCATTATGCACGTAAATCGCGAAGGATTAAAATGAGATTTTTAAGGTTTAAGAGCGTAAATTCGAATTCTAAAATATAAGGTAACCTTTTGGGACATCACAGAAACGGTCAGCACAAAGATAAATGTACGGAGATAATGTAATGTTGTAAGAGATAGCAATGGTGCCTTGGCCTGTTAAGTTCCAAAAAAAGAAAGAGTTAGAAATTCAGAGTTGCCATTCTAAAATCTGAAATATTATCCAATAAAAAATGACACATCAAAAGTCATATGATAAGGAACTTCAGAAACATCAGTATATGGAATAAAGTTGTTTCTTAATCTAAGTTGCTCAAACTCGGGTGCGGGTATCCGATATGGAGACGGATCCTAGTATCGAATTCGGCAAAATCTAAATTTTAAGATTCAGGGATGCAGATCTAGATATGGATACGGGTGCGGGGATTTGACTAATAAAAAATAGAACTATAAAAATATTGTAAATTTTGAGAGATATTCTGTGAAAACATTACATGAATATTGTAGAATTCAATCTTTCATTCTCCAAGATGGACATTATTCTTCCGTTCTCCTAAATCTGTTTTATTTTTTATTTCGAGAAATCAAAATCTCAATTTTTTTTCTAAATTTTTTGATGGACTCCGGTCGAAGTGTCCGAAGTCAGTTGAAAGTATCCGAACATATCCCACTCCGGCTCCTGTTCCCGTCTCGTATCGGGATGGGGACGGCACCAAAATCGAAGAGTCCGTGCAACTTAGGGCTTAATAGAACCCAATTGCAAGAATTTTTATTAATCTTTGATTGGCAAATTAGAAGGGAGCTTTGGAACAATTTTAAAGTTGTATATGTGTGACCTATAAGTCACGGGTTTGAGCCGTGGAAGAAGCCATTAATGCATGCATTACGGTAGACTGTCTACATCACACTCCTTAAAGTGTGCTCCTTCCCCCGGACCCTGTGTGAATGCGGAATAATTTGCACTGGGCTGTTATTTTCTTGATTGGCAATTATTTTCCACTTTTGTTTGATTTATTTTTCTTCATAATTTGGGCGTTTGGAACAAAAAAAATAGTTCAAGACTAGTACCAGTAGTTATGTTTGTTTGATTGTTTTTTCCAAAACAAAAGTTTGAATTTCTTTTACAACTTTTAAACTTGAAAAACTCCTAAAAAGCGCTTTAAGAAAAAATGATAGTTTTTTTTTGGAGGTAAAACCTATCAAATAAAGACAAAAACTTTTAAAGTAAGTTTTGGTCAGAATTTTTTCCCACATCGTTTTCCCTCCAAACAGGACCTAATAAAATTGTTTGATTGAAGAGAAGCCTTGGCACAAGAATTGCATTCAAAATGTGGAAGCAATTGCTAGAAATTATAAGACTGCATCCAATATACTTAATGTGGTTTGGCTTTTCCCTAAACTCACACACTAAATTGGTTGAGCAACCCATAGGAAGGAGAGATGAACCATCGAATTCATATCAGAAATCACCAACATGAATGAGACGAAATTTTGAATTGTATTGCGAGGTCATAAGTTATCTCTTGCCTTATCTATAAATAAGAACGTACCGGATCGACTCGGCTGATATAATACAGTCATGGTCTGTACTTTCAAAGGTCAAATAAAGAATAGTACTTACTAGTTATACATACCTTAGCCTCACAGTAACCAGAATTAGCAGAATCAGCAAGAAGGCGCCTTCCTCCTGGAATTAAAGAGAAGAAATTTCCAGAGGAGGTCTGAAAGTGGACTGTTTGATTGGCATCTTCATCCTTTTTACAAGGCAGCCAACTATTGGTCAAGTGCTTAGGAATACATATTTTAACCATTCTGTCTTGGAAAACAGTCAAAAGCAGAGATATGAATTCCAACAGCATCAACTCTGCATCATTTCATCATGTTTTTACAATACGAACTAATCAGATATCTTAACTTTGACCAAGTAAAAGAGAGGTAACAACAACAACAACACAGTGGATTCCCACAAGATGAGTCAGGGGAGGTAGAATGTGAGCAGTCTTACTTTTACCTCGGAGGGCAGAGAAACTGCTTCCGATAAACTCTCAGAAGTAAAAGAGAGGTAACAAAGAGAAATTAAAGTAACTTGTACCTTCTTTGATCTTTTGTAAGGCTTCATAAAGTGGCTTCTGGTTTTTCTTGAGCAAATACTGCCAGAAATATCACAATTGGAACTCATATTATTAAAGAGACATGATACATATTACAAGTACCAAGGGTAAAATCAAGAAATATTGTGCTGCAAACTACTATTGGAAACGAGTTGAAAGTCAGCGCAGACAGTCCGGTGCATAAAGCATCCCGCATTCACGCAGGATACGGGGAAGGGCTGCACTCCAAGGGGGTGTGATGTAGACAGCCTACCTTGATACAAGCATCAGTGACTGATTCCACGGTTCGAACCCATGACCTATGAGTCACACGGAGACAACTTGACCATCGCTCCAAGGCTCCCTTCTACTTGACGGTCAACGTAAAACTAGTCAATTTAAAGAAATTGGATTAACCATCACCTTGCCAGCATAATGAATGATTCTTTCAACAAAAAGACAGATAGCAACTATGAAAGTGCAGACCAACGCAACAACCCATGTTGGTGTAAATTCCAAATTTGTTTCTTGGTCTCCTCCACCTCCTGCCATCTTTTATTTGTTTCTTTTTTTTAAAAAACTCTTGCAACTCAAATACTATGTTTTGTTGATTGCAGGAGATTTCAAAAGTGGATGTTATAGAGGAAGAATGAAATGGTCAGAAGAAGAATTCCACCTTGTGTTCTTGGGTCCCATGCCTTGACGATGTGTAATTTAGTTCATTGATGATATTATTAAAGAAACAAAACTTAGGTGTTAAGCGTCAAGACACTTCCTAAACTACTCTGTTATTCACATGCATATTGAAAAGAATTATTTTGCTCAACTTGAAAATTTTGAAGTGAAGATAAACCTATATATATAACAAACTTGTTTCACCAATAGACATCTATTTTTAATATGGTAGTGGACAAGAAAACTTAGACGGAAGGAGCAGTTGCATTTTGAGGAGAACTTTTTAATTATTAAATAGGTTGACGTGAACCTTGGGTATGATTTCTCCCTCTTAGTTTAAAAAAGATTAACACCGTCATGTCACTCAAAAAGCAATTACAGGTATACTCCAAATCTTATATAAGAAGTCAAATAAGCCAATAGTATATAAAATTATTTAAATGGTATATATAATTTAAATCCATGTTTCAAAGGATAAAAATGAGATTGATTTATCCTTCGATGATGCAGCCTATAAACGCGTTGTGATAGTCTACGGGTATCATGACCCAAAATCCTAATCTGTCGTGATGACGCCTATCTCAATACTAGTCAAGCCGACAACATTAATAACCCACGATTTACTTTAAATTAAAAAAAACGTAACGTTAAATACAATACCAAAAATCTAGTAATTTTCGATACAACACTCCCAAAACCTGATGTTACTGAGTACAAGAGCATCTAATATGAGTACAAGTCTGAAAAATACGGTCTATAATAGTCTGAGACCAAATACAGTAAACAAGGAGTTAGAGAAGGAGAGACAAGGTCTGCAGAATACGGCAGCTACCTCAAAATCTCCTGAAAATCAACTGCGCGAAATGATCAACACCCGTTATGTTCAGGAATACCTGGATCTGCACACGAAGTGCAGGGTATAGTATGAGTATAACCAACTCTGCAAGTAACAATAATAACTAAGGAACTGAAGATAATGGCGAGCTACACGGTCATAGTTCACTTTCAGTAGTTCCAGCAAAGAATAGACATGCTTTCAAATCCGACAGTTTAAGTCAAATCAATTTTATACAGTTCAATTTCAAGTAATCCGAATATAAATTCTTTCAGAGATTTTACAATAATGACAGATAGAAACCAAGTGCAACAACAAATGCAAAACAAGTAAAGCCTCTCAGGCAACAGTCACTCAACTTATCACAATAGCTCAACCACTCGACTCTCAGCCCTCAGCACTCACACTCAATGGGTACCCGCGCTCACTGGGGGTGTGTACAGACTCCAGAGGGGCTCCTACAGCCCAAGCGCCATAATCCGTATAGACAACTTACGTGCTGCACGGATAACTCACGTGCTATAATATCCTGCACAGACAACTCACGTGCCATATATCCTTACCTTACCGGCAGGCCCTCGGCCTTACTCAGTCCTCAACCTCTCTAGTCTCTCGGGCTCTCGAAAATCACAAGGATCAGCCTAAACAAAGATAACATAGTAAATCAATAAATATCAAGAAAGACTGAGGTATGATGCACAAGTAAAATCATGACTAAGTACAAGATAATAATTAGCAAATAATTCAACAAGTACGCGACCTCTGTGGGTCCCAACAGTACTATCACATAGCCTAAGCATGATTTTTAACATGTTTTACAGTCAAATTTCATCAACACAAAGAGAGCTTATAGCTAAGAACAGTTTATTCAACTTTACAGTTTCACGGGACGGACCAAGTCATAATATTTTCGGTGCACGTCCACACGCCGGTCACCTAGCATGTGCGTCACCTCCAAAATAATCACATGATACCAAAATTCGGGGTTTAATACCATCAGGACCAGATTTATAATTATTACTTACCTCAACCCCGTGTAATTATTTATTTCGCTATGCCCTTGCCACGATAATTGGTCTCCTAAAGCCTCATATCTAGCCACAATTAATTCGATTCACTCAATACAAATTATTGTAATTAATTCTATAAGGAAATACTAATTTTTTTAAATAAAATCCGAAATTAACTCAAAAATTGCTCGTAGGGCCCACATCTCGAAACCTGACAAAAGTTATAGAATATGAATGCTCCTCCAACCACGAGTCCAACCATACAAATTATGCCAAAATCCGATACCAACTCGACCGTCAAATCTTCAATTAAAGCCTATGAAGATTTCTACCATTTTCAACCCAATCCTTACCCATTTGAACTTAACAATCTTTTCACAACCTTATTGGTATGTATACATAATACTCTTACACCCAATAATCATACTATAAATCACCCATTTTTACTCCAAACCCGAAATTGAAGGATTGAGGAAGGCAATTCTTACCTCTTTGAAACCCTAGCAAGATCCTTGTGAAATCTTCAAATCTTGAACAAGAATTGATGGATAAATGACTAAGTCTTCACTTTATCTCTCTAAAATGCTCTCACCTCTTTCTAAAATATCAGATTTTGGCTAAAAAATGCGCTTCAAGAGCTATAAATCAAAGTTGGGTCGGGTCAAAAATTAGAAAGAATGGAAGCTCCGACGCAGTTATGCGATCGCATAACAGGTATGCGGTCCGCATACCGGCCGCATAATTTGGCCTCCAAAGTTGGGCGTTACTAACCCGGTCTGCGGTCATTATGCGGTCCGCATACTTGTTCTGCGGTCGCATAATGCACCGCAAAACAGGTCTGCGGTCACATAGTACACCGCAGATTTTTCTCAAATCTTGCCTCTCTCCTGATCCACTTTGCGATCATTATGCGGTCCGCAGAGTGATTCTGCGACCGCATAGTGGTCGCAGAAATGACCTTTTTCCGACAAAATTTTTTTTTACACGTCGGTGCATTATTTAACCCAAAAAGTCCGAGCTTTTGTGCTAATTGATCTACCTCGGCACCACCAAACTTTAATTTTCTTAGCAAAATTTCTCCGGGGTCGTTACACATAAGTCAACATCCGGTCAACCTTTTTAACTTAAATTCTAAACCTTGGAATTAAGTGCTCCAAATCATTTCAAAACCTCACTGGACCCAAACCAATTACCACGGCAAGCCAAATAACAGTTGTAATTCACAATTTGAGCAGTAAATAGGAAAACGAGGCTATAATACTCAAAACGACCGGCCGAGTCGTTATAACGGGTAGGGAAAGTCAAGGTTTCCAAGTATTAAAAAACAAAAACAGTTGGATGATCATTAGTTGTGAAATGAAGATATATTTGTATCCAAGGGTGCAGTTTGATAGTTAATGAAGTGGGTGAAGATTATAGAAGATCATAGTTCAAAACTATTAGATTATTTCTTTTGATATGCATAAGTTTTGGTGAGTAGAGTTACACAGTACTTATGCTGATAATAGACATGTATTAATTGAAATAATCAAGATGTACACAAGTTGATTCAGTTTCAGTTGCAAAATCCGAATTTCAAATTTCAAAAAATTGGAATCATTAACTATTTACTTAGAATGCATGAATGATTCTTGGATTTGAATCTTCGAATTTTATTTTCCTAATGACCCAAGAAAATACACCTTGATATATAACTAATCTATATGGATTTTTTCAATCAAAAAATCCTTCTCAATTTTATTTATAACAACAATTATGAGTATATATAAACCCCCAAAGAGAAATTGTTAGATGGATATATATTATTTATATATGCACCCGATAGAGAATTATTAGATATCAGAAAAGTATCATAGTTCAATTTGAATTTTGAATTGAATAGAAATACACTAGCATCAATGTCTCAGTTCCAAATAAGTTAGAGTTGGCTATATAAATCCGTAATGTCGCTCCATTAATCTCATTTCACAAAAATATTAATTGGTTCGGACACCACCATTAAAAAAATGAAGATATCATTAAAGACATAAATTATTTTTTAAAACTTTAATATAGGTCAAATTAATAGAATAAAACTGGCTCATCATCTTTAGATGTTACTAAGTCTAGAGTTTTGGTAAAGCAAGTCAACTATTCCAGAAAAAGAAAAAAATAAATACTTCCTCCGGTCCACAATAAGTGATTTTTTGGACTTTTTTTTGTTGTCCAAAATAAGTGATTTTTCCAGATTTCATAAATGAATTAATTTTTTTTTTCCCTACATTGCCCTTGGAGTAAATAGTGTTGGAGTATGTGTTAGGAGTGTTTATGTAGAGAGATAGTAAATGTTGATATGGTCAATTTCATTGCTAATTAATGTTAAAAGGTGACTTTCTTAATATGTGTGAAAACAACAAAAAAATTACTTATTTTGGACTAGAGGGAGTAGTCGTTAATTGTGAAATGAAGAAGAGACAATGTCACGACCCAAAATTCCCACTTTCGGACCGTGATGGCGCCTAACATTTCACTTGCTAGGCAAGCCAACGTTAGAATACTATTATCCATTTTAAAATAATTTTTAAATTTATTAATAACAAAGAAACAAATGTGGAAGTAAAGTCTGAAATGTAGTGAATAATCCATAAAAATAAAATAACGGTGTCTAAATACCATCCCAGAATTGGTGTCACAAGTGCATGAGCTTCTATAATAATACAAATAAAGGTCTAAATAAAATAAAGTTGTCTGAAAACAAACACACAGCTAAAGTAAAATAGACGAGGACTTCAGAACTGCGAACGTCGTGCAGTTATACCTCAAGTCTCCTCTGAGTAGCTGAAATCCGAGCAAGTCTATGGTATACCGCTGGGACCAACTCCGAAATCTGCACAAGAAGTACAGAGTATAGTATTAGTATAACCGACCCCATGTACTAGTAAGTGCTGAGCCTAACCTCGACGAAGTAGTGGCGAGGCTAAGGAGGTTCACTTACATTAACCTGTACGCAATATTAGTAACAACAACAAATAATAGAATTAAATCAGGTAACTCATTTATAATAATTGAAGCCAACTCAGGAGTCATAATCCATTATTATTTCAACCAATTTCCATTATAGCGTGCAAACCACTTCTACAATATATTCATTTTCAATCCTCTCATATAATTA